TTTTTTTTTTTTTTTTTTTTTTTTTTTCTTCTTTTTTAATATCGTAGCAAAGCAGAACTACAGGGCAAAAATAAATCTGGCTATGGAGCTACCCTGACTAAAAGCCATACACTGCAAGTAGAAGAAGTGACTCTATTATTTGTAAGAAATAAAATGAGAACAACAGGTGACTGAAGCGCTACCCTGATTTATAGCCTGTAATTCCCAGAAATACTGTAACCAAACTTAACAATTTTGTTGAAGTGAAGAAAAATTACAACAGCAAAGAGGTTTCTCCTCTTTTGTAAAAGTTCGTTAGTAGGCTAGAAAAAAGTCTTCTGCAACAATATTAAATCCATAAGAAGACCATGTATCTGTTTTTTTTTTCAATATCACTATTGAAATTTGGGGTTTCTGACTATGTTGCCAATGTTGAGTTATTAGTTGGTGAATATTTTGAGTTCCACAGTGAGAGCGACAATAAAATTATCTTGAAGTATTGTGCTAAATTATACTGTATTTCTCATTATCCCAAGAATAGAGCAAACTCTTGATGTTTCCTTTTTTTTTAATATTAGGGTAGTAGTCTATTGAATTACCCATCTATGCATGTATCTCCCCTTATGATAAGAGTCTCAGCTCACTCGTTTGAGATGCAGGGTGCAATCTATTAAAATGAAATTTATTTCTATGTCCAGCAAGTCTCAGTTATTCAGGATGCACTACTTATAAATTTAATATAATAGCATGATGTAGAACAATTCATGTCAGGTGGCTTGTTATATGAGAACAGTTTCCTTTAATGGCTCGGGTTACAGAGAGATAGCTATTCTGGATCTAGATTATTAGCTCTAATTTCTTTTCTAAGCTAGAGACACAGGGTACAATAGACTGCCTTGTTGGAAAGCAGGTTAAAATGGTATAAAATATCAGTGTTCTGTGAAAGAAAATTAATTTTTAATTTGGATTCTAATCCTTTACTACGTTTGCATCACCTTAACTAAAACATGATAAGCCAAACGTTTTTAAAGACTTCTAAATTTAAACTCACTGCTTACTACAGGGCACTTAGATTTCAGTAGTTCTTCAGATTGTGCAAATACAAGAAGTAAATGATCTTTACTGGGGTGAAAGGAAATGTTAGTAATGGAAATAATTTCCAAATTGTTCACACACCAAGTAGTATAGTGAACATAATGTGTTTACGTTGGCAGTGGTTTGGCAGGCCCCCAGCAGGCAAACCATAGTGTCACCATGGTGTCGTCATAGAAACTGAACCCTCGGCAACTGGTTTACATTAGGACTTTTGTTATATTAGTTTGATGCATGGAGCTGTGGTTATTGCCCTCTGTGTCCTTACCGCAAACTTGCACTAGCATTTCAAACTTCCTCTCTCCCCAAGTGATACAGTGTCCTACCCTTTGTAGTATTTGTGTGATAAGAAAGGATGAAAAATATTTTTGCAGTACTGTTGAGTATGGTGCAATGATATGGACAAGTCAGAATTTAAACACCTTTAATCTCGGAATACCCAGAATATTCAGTGTAAAATCCACATCTCTGACATAGGTCTTAGTTACTGCAGTGTGCCTGTTTTTATATTTCCCAGTGTTTGGTAACCCTGCTTTTTTTCTTTGCAAGTGGTGGGTGTCCATCAAGAAGCAAACGATATATAGTTCCTCTTTAGGGTATACGTATTTATATTTTGTTAAATGGTGTAGGATTTTATTAAGACACTTCTGTGGATAACCTTTTTTATGCAAGAATTCAAAAAGTTGCAAAGTGACTATTCTCCCCCTCCCCTTTCTATCAATTTAATATTTATTGTTAGAAATCTGCATCTGAATATTTTATCTTGAGAAGTTCCCACAGTTTGTTGTTACCGCTTGTAAAAATGAATGTTATGAAATATCTCGATATCGGATTTGTTTTTCTGTATAAGTACCATGACATATACTTATTGTGTGAAGGAATTTTGAAATGTGCTGTCGAACTACTGGTTGAAAACAAGTTGTGGCAGTGTGGGGCAACATTTAATTGGCAATGAACGACTTTCATATGCCAGGGGAAGGTTTTTGTGTGATAACTGGCAACAATTTTGGAAAACCTTTTCATCTCTTTTTTGATATTTTTTTTCTCATAAATTAATATGATCAACTGGCATAAGCTAGTCTTATTTGGAGATATCAACATATGGTGTGAAGGTTAATTTTGAAAATCATCGCATGCTGGAAGAGAAGTTTTATTTCCAAATGTTAAGTTCAACCAGTGCTTGCTTATACTTTCTTGGTTACTTTTAAGGGCAAAGAGGACAAGTGAAGGGTACAGACTACTTTGTGAAAAAAAATTGGACAAAATCTTTGATACCCTGTTGACTTAATAGACCTTATCAGTTGATTGCTTTCTGGATAATATATTTAATTTTGTGTGGGACGATTCTTATTATGATATCTCTTTGTTATAAGCCTTTGCTCATGATCTCAAGTTTTGATCTTTTTCTATAATTTGCTAATTCGAAAATGTTGCTAGAGTAGACCTTGAATGACTAACAGCCAAAAAACTTCTTCATTTTGTTTTACAAAAATGTTCTCCTTACAAGGCATTGCCTTTCATATTTTTCACACCAACTTCACATTGGGTAGTGTTAAAGCCATTGCAAGGTAATTGTCTGGCAGTACCAGACCTGGTGGTTTCTGAACACATGGTTATTCTTAAAGGACAATCTGTTTTCTGGCTGTCCAGATTTTCTGCCAATGAAAGTACCATGTGCTTGCAGGCAAAGGGTTAGCACATTAACAGCAGAATGGAATGAAGTGGTTTTCTGTACTGAAAGCCTCTATTTTGCTTAAAAGAACCTCAAAGTCCCAGACTGTTACAAATACAACTATTAAGCCGTAATTTTCGACAGCTTGGCAGCATGCAGGATAATTGGAAATTGTTTGTAATGTGTTCAAAGGTGGTAGAGCAGAACTATAAGTTCTCTTGCACTTGGAAATATATTGTTACATATATTATATGGGGCAATAAGGTGTTACTTTAGCTACAAGAATACTTGTTTTTAGGATGCTTACAAATGATATCAATGTTTAAACAGACATGTAGATGGATGAAATGGATAGTTTTAAATGAACATCTCCGTTACAGGGTATGATACAGAAGGGCATACTTCTACACAGACACTTGCTACTGTACAAGTATATGCTTTACTTTGCCCATGGTTTCTAAATGTGTGCATTCTCTCTTTTTTTCCACCTAGAATCTTAATTCTTCTGACTGTAACTCTGATAAACATAAATACGGTGCTGTGACTCGTAGTTATACGTAATTGTCAAAATGTCACACGTAACTTCGTGTGCATTAAAACTAGATAATATCAACTTAGAGGACACCGCAGGGTAGTGATGTCATATGCTATGGTTTATGACAAGATGGATGGTGTTGGCATACACTTCTTGTTGTAGAGAAGTCATGTCATAACAAAAAGGCCTTTTTTGCCCTGTTCTCAAACAGGGTGCCAAATTGCCATCATAGCTTACTACTTGGTGCCAATATATTCACACAATACTTGGATAACTTGTAGACCTCCAATATTTATTACATTTTTTTTATTTTATATGTAATATAGCCCTGGTGATAATTATTATGATGATACAAAACTAGTTCTACATTGCATGCCTGTATGATATTTGAGTATAATTAAGCTAAGAACAAAGCCCAGTTTCAATATGTGGAACCTATGGTCCCATACACATGTAAGCATATGTAATTACTAGCTGTTTACTCATACATGTTTTTTAAGCTAAATTGTGTATATATATATATTATACATATATTAAAATATTGTGTACAATAACAATGTACAAATTATGAAATAAATGCTTTAGTTAACATACTATAAGTTTAATACCAAGTCTGTTGTTCTTTTTCTTGCAAGTAACTCACACCTTGAATGTTTGAGTCCATTGAAAATACCCTCATAACTATACATTACGCGCCCTCATAACTATACGTTGACGTTGTGACGTGGAGGGCCTTCTGGGTAGAGGAAAGTCACCGATATTGCTGTGGAACTCAGGGTGTCCTGTGTTCTGGTCCGTTTTCTGTAATTGTTCAAAATGGATAAATACCCCCTCTTTTCCCTTCTCACTTTCCTTTTGTTCCCATGCGTTATTTTACCGATTAAAAAAAATATTAAAAGTGATTTTGAAAATGTATGTCACTGAAATAAAATTACTAACAATGGATCTCGTCTCGATTGTAGCTCTGCCAGTTATCAAGAGCTGTTCACCCTGAGTAACACAGCATTGCGTGTGGTCCTCTTCCTCGCACCAACAGAGAGACTGCAACTTTGCATATATTGTGACTTGGTATGTAAGTTTTAAATGAACCGTTTGAAGCTCTGGGTAATGACAGCTCACACCAAATCATTACTTTTAATGAACTCGCTTTAATGTGAAAGTTGCTGTATAGCCATGATGATTGAATGGTGTATTTGGCACAGAAGTTTGTGTTGTACGTATTGTCGTTCTGGGCACTACAACTAACGTTTTTCATGAAATGAGTATATAATAGTACAATTCCGGCAGTAACAGGTAAAATTCACTATATTAATTCGAAACAGGCAAATGTGATTTTAAAAAAATACACTATGAATTTACTGAAATCCCAGTCTGAAAGATTGTATGCATTTGTTATAATGTTGTACCAGTTCAAACCAAGTCTGGCAGTTAGCCGAAAACGAGACACAGATTTGGAGATTGTTAGGGATTGTGAACTTAAAAAGTTCTTGGTGGCCTTTTCTACTTTAGTTACTACAGGCAGCTTACGAAAATAAACATACAGCTGCTTAATGAATTTGGTTTCGCGATTCAGAAGCTGAAACAAAAAAAAAATCGTTCATGGAATTACAGAGTCCAGCACCATCGGGCTTGGGTTTGCAGAAAACAGTTACGATTGCCTTAGATTGTGAGCAAAGCCCGGTTTGATTATCGAAAGCAACACCTTTGCTAAATCATACAAAAAACTTCTTTAAAAACTTCAATACGAAGTCAGTACAGGTAAATCTTACGATTTTTTCCAAAGAATATATTCTACCTTCTTTCTTTCTGTTCGTGCTTTACTCTAATGGTTAAAAAGGCCAGAATATATTAATTGAGGTGCCGTTCATTATCTATGCCTCAAATTGGCCAGGAAGAGATCGAATCAAGACTGTGACAATTCTAGTAACCGCAACTTTCACCAGTTTCCCTTTATACCCAGTCTTTCAAGATAAGTTCGAATAAAAATCCAAACTTTGAATGTTACAGGAGAGGAGCTATGAGAAGGGTTTTCTTCTTGAGCTAAATTATAACTGACTTTTTCAAGGAGAAAAAAGGATCATCTAACCGATGTCCTTTTGATTCGTGCCAACTTGAAACATAGTTAACGAACGGTATCAAATTACAGCTAATTCTTCGTTTCCCAAAGCATATTTGTCGCAGTTCCAACTCAGCAGATTTATCGCAATGCAAACTCAATACACAACACGTTCTGTCGCTTTCTTGCAGTAAGAAATTGATGTCCCATCATGTAATTTTGTTAGACTTTAGCAGGTGGCATATCTTTCATCTCGGAGTGGTTCTCGTCGCTGACGGCGTACGTGTCGCTCTCGTTGTAATGGCGGGAGGTGCCGCATGATTTGAGCTTGTCCACGGAGGAGTTGACGGCGAACAGCAGGTCGTAGAGGAGAGCAGCGACCACACCGCCCAACAACTGCCCAACCCAGTAGACCTGGAATTATGAATATGGAAATATGAACAACATGTGTTGTGTTATCTCTCTCTCTCTCTCTCTCTCTCTCACACACACACACACACACACACCACGCATACACGGCACGCGCCCGCAGAAACTATACAGTATAGATGGATGGCAGTAAAAATAAGCCTAAACTTAAAATGTTAATGATGGAATAACAAACTAGCGAGTCTGAGTGAATGATGGATGAATGATTAAAAGGAATAATATACATGTATGGATGAAAAGGCAAATGAACAGACAGACAGACAGACAGATAGACGACTCATAGACGTAATAACAAGTAAAAAAGTTATGTGTAAGAAGTACTCACCCAATGGTTATCCCAAGCAGGACCTCCAAATATAACAGCAGGCCCAAAGCTACGAGCAGTGTTCATGCCAGCGCCGGTATATGGGACCTGGAAGATCAAACTACACGTAAAAAAGAAGCAAAAATTGCGCAGGAAAATAGGTGAGAAAAAAATGTAGATGTTTAATCCTCATTCACACGCGTTCACACACACACACACACACACACACACACACACACACGCACCAGTATTCACGCACGCACTCTAAGGTGCACACATAAAAAACAAATAAATATGCGTTATATCTTACTAAAAATTACATAACATATCTCAAATCAACAGACAAAACACACACGTTTGAACAGAGGATTCGAACAATCAGCGATTTTAGTTTGCAAATGTGATATAACAATGTGGAGTTCGTTTACAGTTTTTATCACTCAACCACCAAGTGTGCGCACACGACCTGAACTAAGGGCGCATTCCCATAGATTTTAGATCGATCGATCTATCCCCGTGGGGAGTCCCATTAGATTACTGTCAGATAATCCGGCTTAAATGTCCGTCCCGTCTACTTTAAGCTGTAAGTGGGTAATTAACTTTCGTGCCCGCTCGGCTGAGAGCCATTTAGCGTGAACCCCCAGGGAGTTAGGTCGATCTAGTTGGATCTATCTAATCTCTGGGAATGGGGACTAAGTTATCTTTATCTTGGTGTGAGTATATAGGAACGCGGCTTAATCAAATACGATTAAAGGTGGGAATTAGATAATCATTTACTATACTCTGAGTATGGCAATGCACTATAAAGCGGTCTCTATTATGATGCTGACCCGAGAAATCTTACACCTGGGGATAATGTCACATACAGTTAATTGTGCCTCACTCATCGCTAAGTAGATCTCACCTACGCGTATTGGACCCCCAAATTTTAGTTTTTTCTTTTTATTAATTTCTTTCTTTCTCTCTTACTTTCTTTCTTTCTTTTTCTTTCTTTCTTTCTTTTTTGTCGTTGTTGTAGTTAAGTGGAGTTTTACTGGAGTTGGATTCTCATGTTATGTCTAGTGAATGGGTATTTTCCGCTAGCCAATAAACGAAACCTGATTACCCGTGTCATTCAAAATGGTGATCTATTTCTGAATTTAATAAAATCGATAAGGAACCTTGGTACTTGTTGATGGGCATTTACCTTTATTGCAATATTTTCACGGGGAGTGGACAACTATCAAACAGCTCTGTCACTGTTATCTATGCGATTAGATCTGCCCACGAAATAACGGTTACCTCTCCTGTGGCGCAGTGCCTTATGTTTTGTGGGAGTTTCTTCAGTACAGGTTGAACTATGCAGGCCTGTAGCTAAAGGGGGGTCTTTTTCTGAAAATATGGACCTTTTGTCACGAAACCTTAGTTTGCCTAGATTAAATTTACCCAGAGTGGACCTTTTTCCCAGCAATCTCCGTGTCACTTACGCTCCTACGGAAAGTGATCAGTGACAATTGACTGCAATAAAATCTCAAGGTAACCAGCTCTACGGATAACTAACAGTTATCATACAAGGATTCGTAGCACGATCCCCGATGTTTATGTATTGATGATAGTACGGAAAACAATAAATCTACTAAATTTGAGAACAGCGATGATGCCTGCCCCAAAATTAAACCCAAGGGACTTTCTTTCGGTTCTTGATCTCTGTAGCTCCATTAGTGCTAACATCCAATTGATGATCAATCTGTTCTTAATCGATATAAACGCACCTTTTATATTGCATTCCTTTTTATAAAATTATTTTAAAATATCCCGATTTCAAAACAACAAATTGGGACAAGTTAAGTTCATCCGATACATATTATTATAGTTTTCAGTTTTCGGGAAAACGACAGCATTTGCACTGTAGAAGGATTGGATCCTTATCGCAATGATCACAGCACAGCGTATATGCATTCAAGCTGACCAGCGCACCATCTTCTACTTACAAATTACTCGTTTCAATTCATCAGAGAATTAGAAACTGGACGTTATTATATATATGAGGCTATCGGACTCTCCAGGGGAATAGCTAAGCTAAATTTAATGTATTTTCCTGGGATAAGCCCACGAAATCAGCAGTATCTAAAATGAGATATTATTCATTCCCAGGCACAAGTGGACATTAGAACTCGTTAGATTTCTTGATTTACTCCGGAGATGTAACTGGATTTCCAGGAAATTTATATGACCATACACCAAAATATCAATGCACACCCTTGTGCATAGGCCTTTTGCAGATTCATATCACTTTTTGGCTCTCGCACGTTATTTCAGATATTTCGCTGCGCTTCCAGGAAATTATTCCATCATACTCCAGAACATCAAGACACACCCTTGTGGATTAGTAAATACATTTCACAATTTAGCACACACACTTGGCCTAAAACCTTCCTCAAATGGGTTCCTTGCGTTTAAGCTTGGTTCTGCATGGGGGTGCGCTGTGCAAGAAGTAACAGGGCCCTGATTTCATGGGCACTTTAACATTACCACTAAACCACTATTGTGCATCCTCGTGAAATCCCGTGTTTAATTTTTGATTCTTTTAATTACCCATATCATTGCATGACTCCTGAAATGCCCCCCCCCCAAAAAAAAAAAAAAAAGTCAAATGTCATCCCCCCCCCCCAAAAAAAAAAAAAAACGCCAAAGACACACCAGTTCTCAGCTAATAGTCCAATTCGAGAAAACTGCCAGCGCTATTGCACATAAAGCGGGTGTTTCTAGTACAATAAATCTTGAACGCTCTCATTTCTCCCACAAACCAAAATGCTCGTTAAATCCTCGCCACTCCAATATCAAACAACGGCGTGGTTACGCCAGTTACCGGAACGCTACAAAGAACATTAAGGGTGGGGTAAGAAAACTCTGTTGGTCTCACAGCGTCCCAATAGCATGGCTCAATAAACTAAAAGATACTAGGTTGTTAAAATAAGAATTCCCCGTTGCGATATGATCTGTCACGTGCATGTATACAAGGATAAATACCCAATAACATTTTTGAAATTCTCCCAAAAGATGTAGGGGAGGGAAGGGCATTTATTGCAAACATTTTGATTGTCTAGGTCATTGCTTTCACCGGCTCTATGGTTCATTTCCTTTGCTACCTCGTCGTATATGTAGTATTTGAACATATTCCTTTGCATGGAGATATCAACAAAATTCACATACGCATTATTTGACTCAAGTTATGAAAACTTTGAAAAGTAAAATACCGAAAGTGAAGAATACAACTTGTATTTGTCCTGATAAAAGCATTTAAAGAAGAGAAATTCAGTTTCTGCGTGATCTGTATTGATTAGGACAAAGCCTTTGATCTGCACTGGTCAAGCACGGCGCCCGGGCGACGCTGAGACGGCTCTGCGAGAGCGCCACTTGTCCGAATGCCCTGACCATAACGCTGACCAGAGAGAAACGAAATTTGACTGAAAAAATGTCGATTACGTCCCGGTAGTCTTGTTGTGCAACTTTTAATGCGCACTCACGAGCACATATCTTGACCATTATGGTCACCCACTTCTCATTTTGGTCTACCCTGTTCTTTGGTCTTTGGACGGTTGCATTACATAACCAAGCTTGTGGTATTTTGCAGTCATTTTTCTTTTTAATTTTTGTTCGATACCAAAATGCTTGCACTTGATATTAAATATTGAGAACTAGAAATATATCATACATCAAATCATTAATAAAATAATTTTCCCCGAAAAAAAAACTAAAACTATAGTTTTCAGCCTAACGTAAGTCAAGAAAGTTTCTTCACAAGATGTATTTTATTATTTTTGTAGTTGTAATTTCTGTTTCATTGTAGTTCCTACCTCTTTTCCTTTTTCCGTGCTTTTTGTTAGCACTTTCATTAACTATATTCCGTGTCATTCATCACTGGTTAAGTCGCTTGACCCCATCAATCCTGCCATTGTTTACCCCTCATTAAGGGAATGTTGCTGACCACTGGGTGACTTAGGGCTGTGACAGGTCATTTGTTTTACCAGAATTGGACCAATGAAAACTTGTTGATTCGGTATTAGTGAAAAAAAATACAGGAAGATAGTATCCCGCCTCCTTCTGCAATAAAAATATGGCTAAACCGAATAGGGCTTTAACTTTGGTTTCAGTTAAGATACGTCTGATACCATACAGCATATCAAGTCAGATGTTCAGCCAATTCAGGCGGCAACACAAAAAAATCCAAGTAAGGTACATTGAGATCGCCCTGAGATCCTTTGGAGTGTGTAAACGGGCTTTACCTTCTCGTATTTTACGTCACGCACGCGCACCTGTTACGGAATCAATTCGTCTGCAATGCCAGTAACGCTTTGTCGCTCTATATATGAATATCTCCTGCCCGGCTTTCCTGGCTAAATGGACGTAAATGTTGAAGGGAGATTAATCGCCGCTAAGTGTTCTTACATAACTGAGCCTTTGATGTAACCCCAAAAATAGAGATGTATGATTCCCATCCGAAAGACCAGACAGGGTGTCGGGGTATTTACCTTCTCCTAATAGGCTTTTTTTTTTCAGAGAGTGAGTTGCTTGTGTGAAATGGGTGCTTTTTCGATAGCCTCGGAAACTTGGGGGTTATGATAGGAAAAGCACACAGGAACTTGGATCAAAGAGATATTTTAACACACACAAAAAAAAAAAAGGGAAAAAAAGAAAGGAAAAAAATACAACAAAGTCACTAAGTGTGTTCAGCCTTATTCGAAATACCCGAGCCAAGAAAAGCAACAGAAATGTTCAAAACAGGGGTTTAAATTACAGAACGATAATTGGTCGCATTGCTTTTAAAAGTAGAAGCGCTTGCCAGGTATGCTGTTATTGCTTCTGATTTGTAAGTTCAATACTTAGATCTTTTAACGTCGAAATGTGAGGTCCGTTCACTAAACAAGATAAGTTTTTTTTAGAATAAAAGTTCATCTGGATGTGTTTTTTATAATATAGTTTTAAGGGATTCATTTTTTTTCATCAAAAAGAGGTTTTGGTTGAACAAATTTAACATATTTAACAAAATTATCCGATTAAAAAGCTAGCTCAAATTTGCTACTAATTTCTTTTTGTTTCAAGAATCCCATAAGATATGTATACGACGATTCTCAGCCTGCACTGTCAAATTCTACTCTCTAAATATTAATCTAAATTTAACATCAAACTTTTAAATATCTGGATACCAAAATTGCCAATTAAGGTTATCCAAAATGCCACTTTCTGTTTAGTTAATAAAGGTATGTGTCTGAGTTATTGTGACAGATTTGAAGTCATTTTTCCTCAAGAGACTCAGATGCTCCCTACCTCCATTCAAATACTTCGACATGGTCATGCAAAGTACGCGTTGGCGTGAAAGATTTTAAGATTTCCATGGGACAATGTAGCATCGTCTCTATGTCATTAGCAGAGTCATATAAAGTTTAATATCGATGTTTTGAAAACGACTGGGACATATTATTTACAATGTAGGGGTAGCATTTTAATTCATTCATTGACCACAAACTGATTACGGTGCCAAAGTCAACCATCACGACTTTCGACAATTGGAATTCTTTAATGTGCGCTTGACATTGCTCGACCACACTAAAGAGAGGGTATTAACCGCTTTTTAAGCCTGTCGTGCTTTCGCTAATAATTATATTCACGAACAAGTTTTAGGCTTATCGCGGCTCTTCACTTCGCTTCGTGTTAGTACTTCTCAAATGTTCTTCCTTAGAGCGGCAATTCTGGGTGTAACCAGTGAACCAGAAAGACCCAGATCTGGGCCAAATTTACTAAATCACAGCTGTGTTCTACTGTTCTGTGCTGAACTCCTTATTACTCGTATTTTTATATCGTTAGGGCGATACAGCATGAAATGACATATTATGTGGCAGCATTTGGTGATTTATTACCAACGCCAAGAGCGCTAAGCAAAAAAAAATGGGAGAACACTGAAAACAGGCCTACAGTTTTCTTTTGTCTCGATTCGCTCAATGTTTAAGTGCATAAGAAATTAACAAATATGAAAAAAGCACGTTTTTCCTGTTTGACACCCTATACAAATGCCAACTTACATGTGTTATCCAACATCACTTCAACGTCCTTAAAGCCAGCGCATGGTTTTTGTCGGCGCGTTTATCTACTCTTATCATAATGCAGGGATTACAAGGACAAGCCCCGGCCTACCCCCCCCCCGTCCCCCCCCCCCCCACACACACATACACACGCACAATCTCGCCCATTTCTTGTGATTAAATATGTATAAAGACACCCATGAGTTAACAGAGATGCGTGTATATGTAGAACCTTACGCGCACCCAGGGCGTCCGAGCACTATCCTCGACACTCTTGTTTCAAGCATACGCTTTTTGATTATTTAATTTAATTGAAAAAGGTGTATTTTCATAAGACTTTCAAACTCTGGGAGCTTGCATCTAGCAAAATTACGTTGAACCCCGAAGAACTCGCGTCAGTTGAGTGCTATCTCGCCAGTTTATGCACCTTGTTGAATAAAACTATATATGTATAGAAGGCCGATTTTCGCAACAGAGCTGCTAAATTGAAAAAATAAAATATTCCAGGAAATTGACAATAAGCCAACAGACTACTGATTTTTATATATGAGCAGGAGGTGTTCTTCTGTAAACAAATATGAACACACAAGTGAAGTGGTGATTTTGACCAATTATGATGAAGCAGTACACTTAGCACGTGTCATAATCACGCCCTTTTGAATCGCTTGCTTCACGAATGCTTCCTCATATTATGGATACGGGGGCGTTGGGTGTCTAGCTTTTTTTGATGATAACAGTTTTGCTCTTTCTTTTCTCCTGATGTTGATAATGATAGTTATAAAAATTATAATGCCATCTAGTTCCAGTGACAACGCTGACATACACCCTGTGTATCAACGTCTACTGAAAACTCGCCATTATTACCTGCATATCCATATAGCAAACCGTATCGTGTATGTTGGGTCAAGGGGTGTTGCAAACAGCACAGTGAATTTCAGGGTACACACTACTTATCTTAATACACGTGAATTACTGATCTCGATGCTTTAAATGGGTGGGTCGCACTACACGGTGATGGGTAAAGATACACACTTCGAAGACGCTTCTAATCGGTATCAACAAAACGCGTTTTACAGCTACATTTATCAAGTGGACAATTCATTACAATCAATTCAAAATACATACTGTAGCGTTTTGTACAATAAAACGCAGTGTTATGATAGATGTTTTTAATAAAGGGGGTGAAGCCAAGCGGTTTTGCCATTAAGTAAATCCTAGAACTCTTTTGTTAACGTTGGTGGAAAGATGACTTGATGACGTAATGACCGGGGTTTCGCGTCTAAACATTTTTAGATGGGCCTCGCGATCATAGAAGGGGATAACCGAGGCAAAGAAATAAGACTAATGTTGCTATGGGTTTCTCCAAACGTATATTTTATACGTCTCAAATATAATGACACACCCAAGCACACGTGACGCTGTGAAATACTAGGCACGTCCAAATAAGATGTTTATCAAGAAAATAGAATGTTGTGGAAAAACAGGCCAATTAGGAACATATCGTCGCTCAGTTTTAAGTTTCAGTAGATAAACGTTCGATGTCATCCTAAAGCTATTTTGATTTAAAAAGCAAAACAACTTAAAATGCCTGGGATACTAAGAGATGATTCGGTTCCATTGTCATTTTAATAACGATCATTAATGATATTTACATTGAATTTTGATAAGACTTGTTTGTGTCCAGGACTGGACGTTGAGGGGGTCTGAGTATAATTTACTAAGCTAGAAATGATTGGTTTTTACATATCTCCGAGAGAAAACATTTACATTACGACCGACATGCAAACAGGGCAGACAGATAGCCGGATACACAGACAATCTTGGACTTATAATCACCCAGAAAGTCAGACAAACAGACAAACGGACATATATTGAGGCAGGCCTCAAAACAGACAGACGGACACACAGACAATCAATACGTCAGTCATTCGGTCTTTCAGTCAGCCAGTAAGTCAGACAAACAAACAAACAAACAAACAAACAAACATATTCAGACAGGCAAACAAACAAACAGGCAAGCAGGACTTACCGCCCACAGGTGACACATAGCCACAGACAAGCCAATTGCCAGAGGTCCAGAACCGCTGAGATCATTTCTATTGGAGTCGCAGGTGGCAAACACAGTAAACACCAGCACGAACGTGGCCATAAACTCGATGCCGAACCCCTGCCCCACGGAGACTCCCTGGGTAAGCTGGGTTGTTCCTAGCGAAGCCCTGTACTCCGTGGGGGTAAGTCCCATCAGTATAGCCGCGCCCGCAATGCCGCCCACAAGCTGGCTCACAAAGTAGAAGAGAGCACGTACGATGCTGATTTTGCGGGTGACAAGAAACCCGATGGTGACAGCCGGGTTGATGTGTCCCCCGCTTACGTTAGCAATACACCACACCAAGGTGGCCACACTAAGGCCAAAACACACAGAGATGGTGATGAGATTCTGCTGAGCCTTCACGTTGGTGCAGGCGCCGCACGCGACGAGCACGAGAAAAAGGACACCTAACATTTCAGCCAGCAAGGCCCGGTACAGCCCTGGGGAGCGGATATCCTCAGCACTAGTCGCCATGACTCTTTTGGGACTTTAAACGAAGATGCACTGTCCAAAGAAGATGAACGCTTATCAACCTCTTATCTTTATCTGGCTGGGCTCCCTTTAACAACTGCCACCGACTGTCCTCGCTACTGATCCGACCGGCGTCTCAAAGACCTATTGTGGCAAAAACCGTCTCAGCATTAACAGCTGAACACCCTATGGAATGCCGCGTGCGAGAACTCCACTGCCAACTCCACTGGGCCGTTGAATATCTCGGAGCGTTCTGTTGGCGGGGGAGGGGCAACTTATCTAGGGAACGGGTCACGTGACCTCTGATGTAAGGGGTGCTTTCCGTGGTGTACCGTATTAATCCCTTTCTATGCGTCTGTTCAGTCTGTTCCTATGCCTCGAAGAGAGCTACTAGCTCTGTTTCACATACAAAAAAAGTTTCAATAAATCAAAAATTATACGATTAGTCAAAGAATAGAGTTAAAGTTCTTGCTTGTCAAGCGTGTGGTCAAAAAAATAATAATACACTGTAGTAGGCCTATATAGGCCTGAGCAGCTTAGTGTAACACTATAGGCCAATGCTTTAATGATTTTCATTGCATTCTTTTAATTATTTATATTTAACGAAAATCATTAGCATGTAGTGGAATCAAGGCCCAGTTTATATAAGGTCAGATAAATTTTCTTGTATTCATCTTGATTTTAGATACCTAGCATTAACCACCGACTAACACGTTTGTAGATTAGGCCTAGGCCTAAACATGGGAGGATTTTTTTAAAACTTTGAAACAAGCATTGCTATTCTACTAGTAAGATGTGAAATTGGTCAAAAACTAACAACTGATCATCTTTTCGGAGAAAAGACTCACAATGTCACCAAGCTTATCAAATGCCGTTTTTTTACCAAAGTCATTTGGCTTCGTCAAGGTTTCTTCAGTCGTCTGCTCGTGTTTTTTCATGCCTTTAACTGCTGAAGAGTCACAGAATTTCTAAAGGACAAGCTAGGGTCATCTTACCCCTCTATTTAACTGACTTCTTTCTTTGGGTTGTACGAATCCTATTTTTATATGTCTACTGAAAGAAGGCGAGATACACAGTAATTTTTAAAAACCTTGAGAAGCCTTTGTATTTCATTCTCATTCTTTTTGTTTAGAAATCTTAGCCAACTATCAAGTGTCAATCCTTTCTTCCTGTGAAAGCAGAAAAAGTTTGCCAAAGAACCTGACTGTGTCAGACCTTTTATTTACAAAGAAAAGAAAAACAACTTTGTTTGAAAATCAAAAACAAGATAATCAGCTTCGTGTATTTGAAATAGGCTTTATTTTAACCCGATGGAAACCAATATGGAGTTGTCGCCAAGCGTCTGTAGGAGGGAAGTCTCTTTCCTGAAAATATTGCCTATTAGAAATTACCGGCTGTGGGTTTTATACTGAAAACAGGAAAGCTGAAAAATGGGAGGTTATATTTACCCCCACCTTCCTGCTTTCTCGCATTTGTTTTGGCAAGTATTCTGCTTTTTGCGTTAAATTTGTTTTTATCTAGCCGACCGTAAATATTTTCTTTGCCTCGATAACCAACAAATTAGAAGATTACACCTACTGCCTTTTTTTTTTGTTTTGGAGGGGTGGGGGGGGGTAGTTCTTGTTATTTGAAACCATTTATCTGTTTATTTATTTATTTTATTTTCTTCCATTTTACCTTTAAGATATAGACCTATTCCATAAAAACTACAAAAGCACTGAGAGTCGGGGGTTCTTGTTGAAACTCGGGGTGTAAAACACAGGCCCTGCGTTTGCCATCGCTGCGTTTGCCATCGCCATTGAAACTCAAAGATGGCAGGTGAGCTTAATGTGCTGTTACAGAGGATTTCTGTTTGTCACTTGACTGTAAGGGTACGAGAGCGCTGTGCACGCAAGAAGGAAGAAACTGGGAATTTTGAACATAAGGATACCAGAGCCTATATACATAATACATTAATCCAATATTCGTTCTTATAAGCAATATCAGCAATGTAGGCTGCCATAATTGTATTTCTCGATATTAAGAATAGGAAATGAATGTAGGCATGAAGGAAACTAAAGCCCCAAAAGCAACAGCAGCACAAAAGGGCGTTACGTAACTTTCACATTAATGGTTTATGTTTACAGGTTTGAGTTTTGAAACGAGGATAAAGTTTACTCCTCACATCTACGACACAATTGCTCGAACATCGGTTCTGACACGCAAACGCAACAACTTTATCAAAGCGACCGAAGGTTTTGAAGTTGAAAATTCAGTTTGTTGTCGCTGTGTATAACCAATATAAATCAACATTTAATTGCTGGAGAATGTGTCTGGAGTCGCTCAATAACTGACCACGTATAAATTACAGACTAAATACTTCATGTTGTCTGGTATGCCATTTTGCTTTGTGGAATGTCTGTGATGGGAACCATACTATGTTTTTTTATTTGTTTATCTTTTCTGCTCCTCTTCGCATTGTCTATTAGCATGAGAGAGAGAGAGAGAGAGAGAGAGAGAGAGAGAGAGAGAGAGAGAGAGAGAAATGGGGGAAGTATAGACCGACTAGCCTCGAAAATCAAAATATTCTCGACTCAGGGTATCAAAAATAGGGATATGCAAACCATAGCTTGATTTTCGTCCAAATAACTTCATTCTGGTTTTCAGTCAAGGAAGGAAGGGGCGTACAAGACAATGAACAGTGCCAGGAGGTGCTTATGTAAAACGGAAGATGCAACTTGAGTCTCTAATATCAAAATATTCAGATTGCATCAAACGTAAAAAAATTTACTTGTATTTTCTACTTATCTATAGCAAAAAACTAAGAAAAGTTTGTTGAGTAGGGCAAAAAAAAAATGTAACTGTAGAATTATACAGCAATAAATCATTGTTTAGCCAAGTATAGTGTGACGGTTCCAGTGTGGTCAGTGATGCTTAAGATGGAAAACAGGATTGTGGTTGTTGCGCTGAGGTTGAAAGAATGATGCACTAAGAATGTGGTAGTTGTGCCTGTTGCTAATCGGTTTTTCTCACATAAAGCAATTCACCCTAATTTCAAATTTTCAATAGCTTAATTACACATAATATATTTGGTGATATCAAGCTAAGTTTATAAGCACTGATGGATACGACAGGAAGAAAATGTAATCAAGCACAATGTTTTCGATTTCAAGCAATATGCATTTTAATCTTCGCATCCACGAAATAAGAAAACAAATAGCTTTGAAAAAATTGACATGACTGATATAATAAACCTTCGTTTAGTCACAAATAGTAAAAGATCAAAACTTTGAGGAAGTATTTAAAGTCACTGACGTCATAAAAACGTTTCGAAAGCTATAAGAGTAAGGTACTTCAAAAGTTTTATATTAAAATAAGAATAACGGTCCGCCGTCATCTTTTGCAAGTAATGCCAGACAGTCAATCAAAACCAACACGTTTTTCAATTTTGAGCTGGGGGCTATTCTTGTGGCAAAATCACGCAGGGCATCTGGTTGGTTCCACTCCTCGGCGCATTGATATTTGCGTCTCGGTGGGTAACCAATCACGCCATATTTGTTAACAAGCTCGGCGGTGAAACGTGGGTGGAAATCTTTCCTGTAACCCAGCGGACCAAGACTTCGGAAAATATACTCTAAGCGATAGTTCAAAGCGTACTTCTTTTCTGTGTCTAGTCTCGACGTTATGGGGTCTATAGATTCTATGATAATGAGGTCTTGCAGGTTGCCCACGTTATAACCATAGAAACGAGTGCGAGGAGCGCCTTTCATTGGCTTGCCGCTGAATACGTAACCCATGATACGTCGGTCCAGCTGGAAAGCAATTTCTCCGATTAGACGCCTTGATGGAGCGACGTCTGCTATTTTGAAAAGAGGAGTCCCTGCTTTGGTTATTGACTCTGAAATAATAAAATTGAAACCCTTCAATAAAAAATCAGTTCTGCATAAGTGCTGTTGATGTATTAGTACTGATTCATCATTCCTGCGTGTAATTTGTGGGTAGCGTTTTGGAAAAATTTGATTTTAAATGTTGTAAAAAAAATGTCAGCTATTTCTTTAGGTTTTATATTTTAATCTTAATATCTTATATCTTTAGAAAAAAAGAGAAACGGTGGATCTCCATTTGCTCTGCAAATCAATCAATCAATCAAAACCAATAGATGCTTCAATTTGGAACTCGAAATGTGCTCATGTAATACCATCAATTGAAAAGGATAAAAAGACAGGTAAAGTAAAAGGATTTTTACCTGTACATGCGTGAAAGCTGCCCAAGTACTCATCACACCCTCCTTTGCTGAGATCCCTAGTTCTGCCTCTGACGCTCTGGAGGAAGAGCTGGTTTGGCTCTGAGAGAGGAATTATGTCACGAACCTTCTGTCGCATTCCAGGGAACACTGCCTTGTCAACTGTAAGGTGCATTAATTATATTTTGTGAGTCATACATTATGACTGTGTGGCAGGAATGGTGGGCCTAGGCATGGAAGCCCGGGTCCCAAATGTTAAGTTCAGGTTAGGGTTAGCCGGAGTAATAGGGTTAGTATATGGAACAAATGTCACCTGCAGCAAGTAATGGAGAATGGACTACAGTTCCTAGCGGACTACCATTCCTGTCACGCTGGTTTTACGACGAATAATGAAGGATTCGAAGTTGCTTTTGTGCAGTTCATTTATGGTATCTATATCGATATCAGAAACGGACAAAAAATTAACGAAGTATACATACATGGCACTAGATACGATACTGCATTTGTAACGAATTCAATGTAAATAAAATGCCTTAGATGAAGACAGCTTTGAGTGAAAACCATGCACGGCAACGTTTTATCTGGAGGAATTTTCTATCACAAAGATTATTATGCTAACTCACCGGTATCAGTATCACTGTTAAAGCATTCCATAATTTGTAGGACTAAGGTGGCTGCTTTTAGCCCAGCATTCTTCTTTCTCAGCTCAATTTGTTCAGCTAAAGCTTTGTTTTCTGCTTGAAGGCGAGCGTTTTCTCTTTTCAGGAATTCAGGGTAGCTTTCCCTGCAAATCTGAGAATTTTTATCTTTAACGCGTTCGTGTTCCTGATTTTTTGCGTTCCTTTCATTCTCGTGGCTGCTGTTCGTATTCATGAATTCGGGTATTTCATGAAAAGGTGGTGGTGCATTGTTGGCAGACACAGCAGGCTTTTTCTGTTCGTCGTGGTCTTTTTCCACAAACAATGCATTTGTGGGGTATTCAATGGATTCTTCCAGGGGCAAGCATTCCAATTCACCCTGAGCAAAATTAGATGATTCTGGGATATTTTCAGGCAAGTTGTTGAGCTGCGCATGCCCTTGTGAAGGGTCGCTTTTATCAATTGGAGTGTTTTGATCTGTTGTCGTTTTCTTCTCATCAATGTGCACATCAGCGACGGAAGGAATTGGCGTGTCGTCGGTCAAAGACTCCAGCACTCTCTGGACTTTGCCCATCACTTCAGAAGGAGAGCGCGTTTCCGTCTCACGATCAGGTCGTTTAGCTACGGGCGTGCTCATGGCAACGGGAGGGCCAATATTTATCTCACCAAATGCCGATGGTTGAGGTGTCTCCAACTTTAGATCCTCCGAGTGTAAAGTAGAAAAAGTTTCCGAACTGTCGGATAATTTGTCCGGAGTCGGATTAGGAGTCGCTGGAAAAGAGCTTGAACCGTCAGAGCGATCAACATCAGTGGCGAATTCATCATTCAAGTCGCTTGCGTGCAACGTCGGAATCGCAGCACTTACAGGGGATTCTCCTTCATTTTCATCTTCCAGATTTTGAGGTTTGGCAGATACTGGGGTACTTGTTGCAACTGGATCACCGACCTTTATCCCATCTTCGTTTGCTGGCTGAAAAGTCTCCGATTTTAGGTCGTCCATGTGTAAAGTCGACGCTCTTTCCTCAGAATCATCGATAAACGAACTTGAGCCACCAGACTGAAGTGCCTCGGATGAAAGTTCATTCATCAAATGGGGACTGTTTACCGTTGGAATATTGGGCAATCCCACTTGTGATAGATCTCCCTCACTTTCTGTGGCTGTTATGTCAAGCTCTGACATATGGACTGGAGACGGTGTTCCAGAGGAAATAGCGGTCAGGTTTTTCGTCTCCTCTCCAACATTTTCCAAATTACCGATCTCTTCATTCTCCCCACTGGTTTGTTTCTTTAAGTCTGGGGTGTCCAATTCTACGCAATCGCTGCTCTCACCATACGCATCCGACGGGATCACATCGTCTCTCAAGATATCAGTTTCCTTACCGCCTTCTGTTGCATTTGCCACGGAGACCGCAGACAAAAAGTTCTCGTCGTCCGTGCTTTGTATTTGTTTCCGCGGTGTCTCTATGCTCTCCTCAGTCATTTTACATTTGCTTTATCAGAAGAGTAGCAGAGATCATCTGCCTGCGCGGCAACTGCTTGTATCCAAGTAACGCTGTGACAGCGTAAGCATTATGACGTCATATAGGAATCTAGAAACTGTTTTGAATATTGAATGAGGGGTGACGTCATAAAGACTAATCTTCATAAGCAAGAGGCGCTTTGTTTTAATTATAATTGATTTATTTTTACTGAAAAATCAAGTGGTCTAAGACAAGCTAAGGGTAAAAGTTTTTAAGTTGAAACTGAAGTACTTTATACATGCATTTATATCATCAAGATTAGATTACTGCAATAGTCTCCTCTTTGGTATTTGTGACTATCAGATTAAAAAGTTACAATTTATTCAAAACTCAGCTGCAAGACTGGTTTGTCAAATTAAGTACAAGTAGTAGGCCTACACACCATATCACTCCCATTCTGAAAGAATTACACTGGCTGCCTGTGAAGCAGAGGATTGATTTTAAAGTACTTTGTATTATTTTTAAGGCGATCCATTCACAAGGACCATTATATTTATCTGATCTTATCTGTTTTAACTTACCACGGCGGTCCACTCGTTTTAATACTGAAAATGATTTTATTTTAGAACATTCTGTTTTAGAGAAGGGGTGCCTCAAAAGTTATGGAGATCGTGCTTTTATAATCTACGCCCCAAAAGTGTGGAATGGTCTACCAAATTTTATTAGAAAAACAGAAGACTTTAAAAGACCCACATTTTTAATTCTGTCTATATCTCTTAGATTTTTTAAAAATATATATATGTATTTTAATAAGATTGATTTTCAGTAGTGTAAATTTTAAATGGTTTCCAATGAGAGTTTATGATTAAAATATTGTAGTCATTTTAATGATTTTAGTATATTAGCCATTATGGTAAGGCGACTTGAGATAGAATGTAAGGCGCCATATAATAATCTTATTATTATTATTATTATATTACTTTCCCAAGGAAGCCTATACAGCGCGTCATATATCGACAATGTATGCAAACCTGTCCTAAGCAGTGAATATGGCCTAGTCTATGCCTACTGCGTAAATGTTACAGCAGCCAAGGGGGAAAAAGACTAAACGAGGGTTGATATCTTTACTGTTATATTTATTTAAAGGTCTTCAGAGAAGCTGATGTAAAGTATGTTGATTAAAAGCAGATACCTATTTCAGCAAGCCAATTCAATTGATTCTAATTTCAATATTTAAATTAATATTATACAGATATAAATTTGAAAGACAAGCATACAATGCAGTTTATATACAATCTTATAAACAGTTCCTTGAGTGTATGTATATGTATTACTACGATATTTCGAGAAATAGAGTAAACGAAGGCTAGATTCCATTTAAGATGAAGTCCAACATCTCCTCGAATGAATTAAACGGAAAACCGTCGTTGTGGCGCAGACGTGAATCTCCATCGCCGCCAGAGGGCGTTTCATTTGCAGTCCCTTCATTTTCATCATTTTCATGGAAACTTTGTGTGGGGGCGTCTTGAGGCGTACTGGGAGCTTCATCTTTTGGTGAATCTTCATTGTGTAAAACGTTCTTAAAACCTGGTGCTTTCTCATCTCTTTTTAGGCTACGTGCTTCCGGTGGAGGTTTTTGCTTGGTTATGTGATCGTGGTCATCTGATCGCTGTCCCTTTACGTATTCTTCAGCGTCTTCACCGCGACTTGTCATTATTCAAAGAAGAGTTTATGTTTACACAAGAAATCGATTAGCTACATCGCTACTATGACAACGTGATGCTGTGTAGACGTTTTCGACTTGTGATGTCATAGTACAACTGGAAGTGAAAAATACGCGCAACACAAACCAGTTTAATTGTTGTAAACATGCAAATAATTCTGTCTGTTAAACGTGTAAAATAGATTGGCGATATATATGTATAATATTAACAGCCGTCGAGAACAGAGTAGATTTTTTAGATTAACTTGCTCATTGCTTTGGGGTATCACGCATGCACTGAATTTATGTTTCAATGGGAAGCATCAGAAATATGAAAGTTGGGAATTTGAAAGGCGGCAAAGTAGGTACAAAGGTCATATTCCAAGGTAAACCGAAAAAAAGCAAGAAATAACAACTAAAATGGTATAGAATGTCTTTATTGAATCTTTTAAAATCAACATTGAATTGTCTTGTTTCTAACTGTCAACAGCATTATAAGCTAGTATTATAAAGCTAGCATTATAAGCCAGTAAAAAGGACAAAAGCATTGCGCCAACTTTGCGATTCCACTTTTCTAAAAGTTATGTCTCTTCAACTGACACAATATACAGTTTTACGACGTCTTCAACTTTACACATTTACTTGTGCGACTAAAATACTATAAAAATATTACCTAAATGAGATCAATAAGAAAAGTTAAATAAAGCATATTTTAATAAAAGAACTGTAAAGGATTTAATTGGGAGTCTGCTTGTTTGGAGGGAGAGGGGGCTACTGGCCTGAAGCAGTCAAATTCTGACGGTTTACCCCCCCCCCCTCCTCCTCTCCCCAACTGACGCAACAGCCCCCTATTTTGTTAGATACGGATAATTGTCTTTGTGAATTTCAAAGGAAACCTCACAATATATATCACATGTTTATTTTATGGTTTTTTGTTGAAGGCGGAGGAGGGTTGATCTTTCAATACGACTATTCGACAAAAAAAGAATGATCGATAATTCACACAAAATATGGTGTGACCATATAAACATAAAAGCATCAATCCTGTCTTTAACTAAGAACATATTTTGGCATATGCTTTTCCTAAAAACCACATTTCCAATAGCTGTCGATATCAAGGATAATATCCATAAAAAATCAGTATCTCATGGACAGAAATTATTGCATAGTCACAAAAGTGTCAATTAAAATAACATCCTTTTTGTGTGATTTCATTTTTGTAAAATACCTATTAAAATTTTTTTCGGAAGACAATAATGTGCCACTAAAAATCTTTCCTTGAAGATTTTTTTGACGGTTAGATTCTAAGATCACAGGATTTTTACTCAGTCAATAACGACTAAAATTGATCGCAAATACATGTAGCACTGCAGGTTCAAGCACCGAAATCTTGACAATAATGTCAAAAGACTTAATGGAATTTCCTAAATATAAAAATATGGATCTTATTTGAACTTGCACAATGCTTGTAATGGGTTAAACTTGGTGATCTTATCTGAAAGAAATTTATGTTGATTTGGATGGTGACGTCAGAGTTGAGGATGGTGACGTAACACCCGCAGGCGGTGATGATGAAGGAGATGTTGATGACGTTGATGATGAGGAAGACAATAATGGCGGTGGTTTGGCGGCAATTGGATCGTCCCTTGTCCCTTTCAGCCAAATGTGTCTATTGCCGTTGATATAGTGTCTGAAATGGCGGATTACTTGGCTTCCTAAAGAGTTGTAAGTCTCTCCCATTACCTAAAAACGTTAAAATTTTTGTTATATTGTATTGTGGGAAACTACTTTCTTGTTTATTTTTCTACGAAAAACTTAATCACTTTGAAAACTTTAACTTGTGCGAAAGATATCCCAATATGAGCTCGTTGAACATAATTATTCGTAAACTAGTTTTATATTAATTCAGTTTCGAATTTATATCTATCCGCTAATCGCAAGCCTCAAACAAACAATATATCTAAACATTTGCGAGAGTGATTTATATTATTTCACTCATATGTTTTGAAGACAGGAATTTTTTGGAATCAATATCATTGTCAAGAAAAAAACAACTAATTTTATACACCTCTATTTCGATCTCTTCCCGTCCTATCCTAAGCATGGCCCTGTAGATCTGTTTCTCCTTTGTGGCGTGTACACCATGGCTCTTTACCGTGCCCAGGTGTTCCAGCCGTAGCCGTGACAGCGTGCTCTCTTCCACCGTTACGACGTCACTTCCGGAATCCACCATAAACTCTGCGAAATGAGAAAGTTAGTGAAAAAATATGGTATTTATTTTGTGGCCCGTTTCATGATATATGTCACTGTTTGAAATCCATTATTAAATTTAACCGCGACAATTATATACTCATGGTGATTATGGGGAAAATTCACTTTAAAATTAACTGATGCAAATGCCTGCTAAATACATGGTAATTTTCAGCCGTTTAAATATGCATGTGAACGGCTTTGATGTTAAAACACAGCTACGGGTCTCGGTTTAACAAACGAAAGAAAAGTGAAAAAAGTAAAAGACAGGTCAGCTACAGCATAAAATTTTTAAATCACATTAAAAAACGAAAAAATCCAACGTACCAAGCATCTGTTCGTAGTCTGCATCACCAACCCCTTTAATAGCAGCGTGAATGCAAAGAAAGTCGTTCTTGGCGTCCGCTAGGGGTCGCGGCTTACCCCAGTACCCAGTGGCCACGGGGTCTTCTGCCTCTGCGCTTAGTTTCCGCCGCTTTCGCAGCTGTGTCACTAAATGAATTTGATTTAAGAAAAAAAAAATATTGTACATATATAAAAACGTGCATAACTGATTTTCATTTGTCATCACAAGTAGTAAATAAAATTTAAAAGTTATTGTTAAAGGTGGGGACAGAAAAATGACACTGGAAAATTATACTAAGTTAACAATTGATTGGTTAATTAATTAATTGGTTAGTTTTTCAACTATCTAAATTGCTACTGTGCATATATGAAGCGAAATCTTTTAATATTTGCTAATCTGTCTCTTCAACCAAATGACAGTATATTAAATATGTATGCAATATATACACAATATGTGCAATGTATTGAAACTCCTTGCTGCCTAAACATACATTATCGCTGACGTAATCGGAACAGTCATGACTGAGTTATTATTATCTATATGACTCCTTTTTCTACGGACTGAGATTGGTGAAACTTCTCTCTAAATCTGACTCATGCATAATGAGCCACACGTCAATGCTTCTGAGTCTACATTCTTGGTAATAATTTCCCAAGATCTCAGACTATATTCATTTATGCATTTATGCAAATGGCATAATTCCAATTCTAGATATCTTATCCGCATTGTGTTATAATTTATAGAATGGTGAATAGTATATTTTCTCATTCAGGGTATCCATACTGATACTAAAGAGACTATAGGAAACACAAAACAAAACACGCAGAGAAAATATACTGGAGAAAATTAGGTAGCATTTTTGAAATACATACATATTTTAGAATTATGACAGATTTCCCATATGAAGCATGACGGTTTGGTGTGTGCATTATAATTTTTGCGAGGCTGTGAGCTCCAACACCAAATTCAAAACACCTGTTCTATACAAAAACAAAATTACGTACATTTATTAAATGAGGTTTTAGATTTTGTTCAGCATTAGTTTGTTATCAATGTCCAAAATCTCCCCAGCAACCTAAAATATCTTGTGTAATATTACTTATATAGCCTGGGTTTCAGTAAAAGTGTATTCGTTTTTTTCTTAAATAAAATTGGGCTATATCATGTATATTCAATATTTAAAGCTGGGCTAGTGTGGGACTCGACCTCCTCTCCCTAAACCGCCTCTCTCC